TCCCGATATACATGCTGAAAGGTAGAACTTCCTTAAGTTTTGTCCATGAGTGTATATTGGTTATCTCGTGTGTCTTTAATAAAGGTCACTGTAATATCTTTCATAGTTATTGTCTCAATCCCGATATACATGCTGAAAGGTAGAACTTCCTTAAGTTTTGTCCATGAGTGTATATTGGTTATCTCGTGTGTCTTTAATAAAGGTCACTGTAATATCTTTCATAGTTATTATCTCAATCCTGATATACATGCTAAAAGGTATAACTTCCTTATGTTTTGTCCATGAGTGTATATAAAATAAAGTTGCTTGAGGATGACATTCATGAACCAAAAGTAGCACCTCTCCCTTTAAAATCCATTAAATCAAACGTTTTCATTGACATATTCTTCATTACCATCTTTACATTTTTGTATATAATGTGTCAATAAAATGTATTGTTTTAATGTATTTTAAAAGGAGAGGTGATTTTTGGTGTGCATATACATGTATATTTTCATGTGTGCTAAGGAATATAATTTCATCCATACATTGAATTGAACTAGTAATAGAGCGTGTATTAATGGAATTTTTTTTTGACAAAATAGGCGCAATATTTAGAGAAATTGGACCTTACTCTGTTGCATAAGGCTTGGCTCATAAGTGATGAACCCTCCCAGCGGTTTCGCCAATTTAATCTACCAGACCGCTTCTTTACAGCTACTGTATTTGTCGTATATTTATATTTTAATTATATAATATAATATATTAATATAATAATATTATTAAATCCACAGATTCTGCGATATATTGCATATATCATAACATATAATTTATCATCATATAATTCGATTGTTAACTTGTAATTCTTAAGCTTGCATCTAATACAGTGTAATATAATAAAAGCCATTTAAATAAATAAAGCCTAATATATATTTCTACTTTTAAATCAACCTAAATACACCACAGATGTTTCTGATTTTATATGCTACACTGAAGAGTAGAATCTTAGAAATGGTATTTAAGTAAACAATATTAAAGCTCTAAAGACGCGGTCTGGTAGATTAAATTGGCGAAACCGCTGGAAGGGTTCCCCACTGATGAGTCAAGCCCTCCCAATATTTTTTCATCGTAATAAGGACAGTAGAAGTTTGATTTATTTGTAAAAAGAAACATTCGTATTTTGATGTTTTCATGTCCTATGTATAGATGACCCGTTATAACTTTGTGCAAATATTTATATATTTTAGTTACTTGCTCACGAGTAAGAAAAACTTATAAAAGAAGAAAAACATATTTACACACTCAACAAAATATAATTTACTTAAATCCCAAGAAAAAGAGAAATTTTAAAACTTTGTATCTTATGAGAAAGTGACAGATGTGGATTTAAAATATCTTTTACGAAAAGTTTTTGAATTTTTTTTATTGTTTATAGATAATACGCTTATTGAGAAGTTTTCACACCAGGAATTTTCTACCGGATACTCATTAGTGTTTTTTTAATTAATTAGTAATTATAAACACACTTTTTTTTTCAATGTGAGAAGAAAGATAATTTGTTTGTAAATAACATTTGTTAATCATAAAAAAAGGACAAAAGTAGAGATGTGTAGAAGCGCAGTCGCTAACTTCTACCCACCATGATTATCATGTTCTCTACCACCTTTACTAGGGATTAATAAAAAGGATAGAAGAACGATCAAACAGGAATGAGTACAATAAAAAGACATCTGATCGTGGAACTGAAATTTGTTGATGGCTTACGCCATCTATCCGAATAAATATTAACTAATCGTTGATTTCTAATTATTCCATATTAATGGTCAAATATACTTTTTTATTATTATTCATATATATGAAAAAAAAATATATATATGTGGTATTTATAAGGTGGGAAGAGAAATAATCACATCACAAGTTGAAAGAGGGACCTAGACAACCAGAGAGAGACAGGACTGGCACAGCCGGGCGGCCGTTCGCGTCGCACACAATCCCCAACTGTCTTAAAAGTCCCAAGGTGTTAACTGACGGACCCCACTGGTCGCAATGTCGCTGGTGTCTCAAGTGACCGGATCGTCTCTCTCTGGGTTGTCTGTAGGTTGGCTTTATTATTCCTTGAAGAGTATATATTATGACATATATATATATATTTGTTTAAAATATAGAAATGTCCAGGTATTGATATTAAAATCAAAATTGGCATATCCTTACCGCTCACATGATATTTTTAGATGGCAGAGCGCCATCTAGTGGAACAAAAATCAACTAAACGATGATTTTAGCTTGTTTTAATATTTATCCAACCCAAATACGACATTTCTCGATTTACCAAGAAATTGGGTTACCAAATAGCATAGGAACAAGCTAAATCATTGTTTATTTAATATTTGTTTCACTAGATGGCGCATCTAAAATGCTCATGCTCACGGTCAGGAAATGCCATATATGAAAATTAATCAAAATATATATTTAATTCATTTATAATAATCCTAATTTTGGATCAAATAAATATTTATTTTTTCCAATATTTCGCCAAAATTCTACAGATAACAAGACTATTTTGAAAATCTGTTTGAATTTTTACATACGCCTATATATGATGCTATTTGAGACCTATATTCGAATATACCTACTGATTTAATTATTTGAAGCCTATATTTGCATACACCTACTGATCAAATTTAAGATCTATATTTGCATAAGCATATACAGATGATATTTGAGACCTATATTTACATATACATTAACAGATGATGATATTTGATATACCTATATTTACGTATACCTATACAGATTATGATATTTGATACCTATATTTGCATATACCTATACAGTTGATAATATTTAAGACCTATATTTACATAGACCTATACAGATTATGATATTTGATACCTATATTTGCATATACCTATACAGTTGATAATATTTAAGACCTATATTTACATAAACCTATACAGATTATAATATTTGAGACCTATATTTGCATATACTTTACAGTTGATAATATTTAAGACCTATATTTACATAGACCTATACAGATGATGATATTCGAGACCTATATTTACATATACATATACAGATGATGATATTTGATATACCTATATTTACGTATACCTATACAGTTGATAATATTTAAGACCTATATTTACATAGACCTATACAGATGATGATATTTGAGACCTATATTTGCATATACCTATACAGATTATGATATTTGATACCTATATTTGCATATACCTATACAGTTGATAATATTTAAGACCTATATTTACATAGACCTATACAGATGATTATATTTGAGACCTATATTTACATAGACCTATACAGATGATGATATTTAAGATCTATATTTGAAGATACCTATTGATTATAAACTATTTGAAACCTATATTTGCATACACACCTACTGATGATATTTAAGATCTATATAAACTGATGATATTTGAGCTCTATATTTACATAAACTCCGCACTATCTGAGGTACTCACCACGTTGATGAGCTGGATGAAGGAGAGGCCGAACTCGACCTCTACCGTCTTGTTCATCATCTCCACAGGCCGGATGAGCTTGTTGTAGTCTCGGAACAGATCCCGCACCAGTCGCTCCTCGTCCTCCGAGCACAGTACTGGAACACACCACAGTCACCTGCTGGAGAGAGAACAACATATATACATATATACACACAATATTTGATATAAGAATCCCTGATCTCAACCGCGAATGAAAGCTTAAATTGAAAGACCAAATTATAACCCCGAGCACACACAATATGCACCAGAGAGAGAGAGAGAGAGAGATTGAAACTGATTTATTATAACGTACATTTAAGATTATATAAGGTTAAATACAGAATAAATATAAATATGAATAAATAAGATTATATAATGATAAATATATGAATGGATTGATATAAATATATAAAATAATTGATAAATATACATATACAATATAAAATACTAGCGGATGTGTACCCGGCTTTGCCCGGGTTTTATCCGAGTGAAAGTTTGCCTAACGAATATTATATATTATGAAGTATAATAAACAATGTTAAAGATTAGTTTTAATTATTAATCAAGATTGTGTGTGAATATGTGAGAAAGATGTAATATCGTTGTTGTTTTCTTGGCTGACTGTTTTACATATGGTGTTATCTTAAAATTGCTTGTTTTGAATATTTTTTTAGATTGAGTTGAATGAATTGCTGATTTTTTTTTTGTATTTATATATAAATAAAATTAACTCTGTTGATTTTTTTGTATTTAATCGATAACAGCGAAGTTACGCATGTTAAAGTTAGGAAAAATATTTTGATGTTAAGCAAAACCTGCTCCATCTCGTTTTACATAAATGTTGAAAATTTGGTCGAAATTGATGCATTGTAACGAAAGTTTTTAGTGAACAACACTTATGAAATTTGCATTTTATTAATATAGATATAGAGAGATCATCAGAATATCAATTATAAGATATAGTATCTTCAAAGACAAAGGTTACCTCTCCCGTCAAAATAGACGTCAAAACTCGAAGCCATCTAATGACCGTCGCCGCAAACTATCGGCCTTTGTCACCGACCCGAGGCCACTAGTTTTCGGCGACGGTCAATAGATGGCGTCTAGCTTTGACATCTATTTTGACGGGAGAGGGGAACTTTGTTTTTGTAGATCAATATCCTCCCGGTAAAATTTTCATCTATAGTATTTATATTATGAATCATTAGTGCGCCATCTGTCATGAAAATTCGTAAGGGAAGTAGAAAATGTAAAATTAAAAAAAAAAAAAACATTTTTTTTTTGCCTATCCCTAGTACATGTGGTACAGGCCATGATAATCATGGTGGATAGTTAGCGACTGCTTTTACTGTAAGCGCACCACATGTCTACACATGTGAAAAGCAGTTCGACTTTGCACTTACAAATGTGCCAGAGCCCCGTTTGGTTACTTGCACTTGCTGGTGGGGTTGGACTTTTGCAAAAATCTGGGCCCATTGGAGCATTTTTTTCTGTTTAAACAGAAAAAAAAAGTGTCCAATGCGGGAATCGAACCCGGGTCGTAGTGGTCGAAAACCAAACGGTTTAACCAGCCTTCCACCGACCCCCTAAAATAACCATACGTGTCTATAATAGTTTCGAATATTTAGTATATACAAATTTTCTTTTTTTGCATAATAGAGATGGATATAGGGTATTATCCACTCTATAGGAAAGTTTACTATGTAACGGTGTTACTAATCTAAGCAGAGTGGAGTGCCCAGACTTGGAACCCCAAGGCTGAACCTTAATCTCACAGAAGATATGTATACTGCCTGGACATGATCTGACCAGTGTCCAATAGCCACATCTAATAGCACTGCTGATGTCACATGTAACAGATGATGTACTCTTTACTATGCAACTTGGAAGGTGAGTACTGTCAAAGAAGATGATCCAATAGAAAGAACATCTAGCCAACAGAAAAGAGTACTGAACAAAACAGGTATATGTACGATCCAATAAGATAATTGGCACGTTCCAACAGAGATCAATATTATCCATCAGGCATCCTAAGCAAAAAAAAAGCCAAGTACAATTCAACAGGATAAAATTGGGGGGTTGTTAGAATGATGGTCTAAAACCGTTGGTTTTTGACCAATACGGCCCGTGATCGAATCCCACAATGAGCACTTTTTTTCTAATTAAAAAATAAATTCTCCAATGCCCTCCAATTCTTCAAAAAGTTCAACCCTACCAATGAGTGCAAGTAACCAAACGGGCTCTGGCACATTTGTAAGTTCAAAGTCGATCTGTTTTTCACATATGTAGACGTGCGGTGCACTTATAGTACACCTATCCCCCGATTTACACGGTACTTGTTTTACACGTTTTCGCTTTTACACGGTTTTCCAAATAATATATATTTTTTGTTTTTATCGCATCATACTAAATGCTACTGTGATTGAACACATTCCCTGTGTACACATCTCACGAGGAATCTCGAGCTTATGTGCTGACTTGCTGCACACGCACACTGTGTCTGTATTTATTCGCATAAAAATTTCGGAAACATTTTTAATTTTCGATTTACATGTTTTTCTCAGGAACGTTTCTACCGTGTAAATCGGGGGATAGGTGTATATGCAGTCGCTAACTTCTACCCACCATGATTATCATGACCTGTACCACCTTTACTAGGGATTAAAAAAAGGATAGAAGTACGATCAAACAGGGATAAGTACAATCCAAAAAGAGAAGCATGTTCCAGCGGGGAAAACTAACAATAAAACATTAAAGAATATGTGGGATTAAATGAGGAAGTATGCGGTGCAACAGGGAAGAGTACAATATCCGTCAGGAAATAATCTAAAAGGACATATTACAATTCAGTAGAAAATGGACGAACCTAGTGGAAAGAAGAAGACGATCCAAAAGGAAAGAGAATGATCGTTGAAAGGAAGGTCAGAGAGACTGCCTCGTATTGTAAAGACAATATTCTAATTCATTAGCGCGCCATCTGTTATCAAAATTCGAAATTATTATAGAGGCGTATAATTATTTTTGAAAATAAACAATTTCTACTGTCTTTACTGCAATGAAAAAATTAATGGGAGATTAATGTTCATCACTGATGACCCCGGCCCTCCCATTATTTTTTTCATTGCATTAAGGACAGTAGAAATTATTTTCAAAAAGAATCATACGCGTCTATAATAGTTTCGAATTTTGAAAGACAATACTAACTTAAGATATATCTAACCAATTAGCTTCAGTGTGAATATTGTTTAAATTTATGCAAATGATATATTTTCTATTTACATATTTACACACAACCGTTCATATTATGCATCGTTTTAAAGATATTAAGGTGCCAAAAATTCTAAAATTTACAATGTATGAAAACATAACCAACAATTTCAAAATTAGCGCCTCTTTAACTCTGATATTTTAAACATTTTATAAATATTTTCCAATTCCCTTTTAAATACTTATTTGCATATAAAACTTCAGACGAAACAGTTTAAAAGCCAAAATAAAATTTCGGCACAATACAAATAGTATACACCTTTCACCTTTTGCATTTTTGTGTAAAATAGAAATAGTTTTAAATAAAAAAAAGGAGTTTTTTTCCGTCTCTCATCCAATAGGATTATTTATTGCCAAAAGATAAACACACACAAACAAGTAGGTCCGCCATCTTGGGTAGAGCTACCCTGGCATTGACGTCACATCCGGTCTATTTATAGCTCAAGGTCGAACCAGACGACAGGGCTATTTTTAGCAGAAGATTTAACACAATTATGTCAATGCTCGGTTTGTCCATATGTTTGTTTGTCTTTTGATTCAATTTCTCTATTTCGTTACATTTTTATTTACCATTTTAAATCTTAAATCGATTTTTGTGAACTTTTACGAGAGATGTACGTGTGATGTTGTTAATTTTCGATTGAAGAGTTGGAGCGTATAAAATATATTTATTGGCTTATATACTTAGCAAAACATTATAAAAGTAAGAAATGATTAAATACAAATTATTATATATCTAAATACAAAAGGTTATTTAAAAATTAAAGATCATCCTTTGTTCTTCATGTCAAAACATTATTCTTTGTTCTTCATGGTTTTTATTGATGTTCCTTTTTTCACAGACATTATACCTTCACGTGAAACGTCAGTTTTTGTAAATTTAATTAAAAACCTTTAGAGTATTTAAATATAAAATATATTTATAAGCTTCTAATACATTTATAGATTATACAATATTATTAAATATGAAATTATTTTGAATGCAAAAGTTTATATTTATATTAAATTTATAAATTCCAATTGCCACCTATCGATAAAATGTTTAACAAATAAAAAATACTGGCAATATGTTTATTTTCAATAATATCATCAAATATTATCTCTACAGACCTTTTACTGTAATGATATATGTTATTGAATGAGAGGGCTTGGCTCATCAGTAGTAAACCCTCTCATTCAAAAACTTATATCATTGCAGTAAGGTCTGTAGAGATAATATTTGATGATATTATTGAAAAGAAACACATTGCCAGTAAATTTATTTGTTAAATATTTTATCTTAATTACACACAAATGGGTATTTTAAAAATTAAATACCATCTTTGGTTCTAAAAACTAAAACATCCATATAATTTTCTGATTTGTTTTTAATTTCGGTTCGGTTCAAAATCACTTTATTAGGTACCGCTCAGCAAGAGCAACCTAGTTTATGATAATTGAAGCAGTAAATTATATGTGAAGGTTATTCACATATTAAACAGAATGTTAACGTGGGATTCAATCCTGGTTCATGACTGTCGGGAATCGAGGGTGTTACCTACTCGTCCACCGACTTTTTTTGTTTTTGTTTTTAATTGATTGTCCTTTTTTATATAAACAAACATTATAACTTCACACATGGTAATCTTTATATATATTTCTAAATTTTCTATCTTTTATGTTTATCTTATATTTGTGTTTCTCCATTTTTAAAACACATTTCCGGCACAATATAATTTGCATAAATCTAGATATGCAATGTAGGTTTATACATCTTATATAGATATAGATTTGATTTTTTCGAAGATGTTTTTAGATATTTTATAAGATTTTTTTGGGGGGTTTTGAACAAATAAAATACACATTATTATCTCGAATACATTTTTGATATATAAAAATTGAGGTAGAATTTTTTTAGAAGTCCTACCATACCTTCCTGGACCCTTGGAATATTTGACCAAATTCTGGTCCGTTACATAGGTTATTAACGTGGCAACGGCATCCATTTTACAACGAAGAGCAGATATTGCGACTTCTGTAATAGAGATGTACGGAGACATCTGAGGCTCTTCATTGGACACGACAACAACAACAATACAGTATACCCACCTAATATAGAGAAAGACTGCTGTGATAGAGAAGTACGGAGACATCTGAGGCTCTTCATTGGACACGACAACAACAACAATACAGTATACACACCCAAGATAGAGAACGACTGCTGTGATAGAGATGTACGGAGACATCTGAGGCTCTTCATTGGACACGACAACAGCAACAATACAGTATACATACCCAAGATAGAGAACAACTGCTGTGATAGAGATGTACGGAGACATCTGAGGCTCTTCATTGGAAACGACAACAACAACAATACAGTATAAACACCCAAGATAGAGAACAACTGCTGTGATAGAGATGTACGGAGACATCTGAGGCTCTTCATTGGACACGACAACAACAACAATACAGTATACACACCCAAGATAGAGAACGACTGCTGTGATAGAGATGTATGGAGACATCTGAGGCTCTTCATTGGACACGACAACAACAACAATACAGTATACACACCCAAGATAGAGAACGACTGCTGTGATAGAGATGTATGGAGACATCTGAGGATCTTCATTGGACACGACAACAACAACAATACAGTATACACACCCAAGATAGAGAACGACTGCTGTGATAGAGATGTATGGAGACATCTGAGGCTCTTCATTGGACACGACAACAACGACAATACAGTATACACACCCAAGATAGAGAACGACTGCTGTGATAAAGATGTACGGAGACATCTGAGGCTCTTCATTGGACACGACAACAACAACAATACAGTATACACACTCAAGATAGAGAACGACTGCTGTGATAAAGATGTACGGAGACATCTGACATTCTTCATTTGACACGACAACAACAGTCGAATACAACACTAGAACGGTATGGTAGATTAAACTGGCGAAACCGATTCACTACTGATGAGCCAAGCCCTCATGAAAAAAAAAAAAAAAAAAACTCTCGCTTTAAAATATAGGTGTCGTGCAAGTCCATAATTTTAATATATAACACACATACACTACTATAAAAAAATATATATATATATAATTGAAATCTTAATAAAACAGAGAAGCAATTAAAGAGAAAAGAAGTACCCTTTTTTAAAAAGATTTATTATAATAAAACCCTGAAACCGAAACTAAACGGGGTTGAACAGGTCACGTGATACGAGAAAGAAAGATGATTGGCTGATACTTATCAACACCCATGATATTAGATTTAACAACAAAACACAAGATGTCATTTTAAAGCCATTTCTCATTTCCACCCAACCCTATTTAAATTTGTA